TATATATATGTATATATATATATATATATTTATATGGATATATATATATATATATATATATATACAACACATATACATACTATTGTATGTGTGTGTATATGTGTAAGTGAGTGAGAGAGAAAGAGAGAGAGTGTGTGTGTGATGTGTGTGTGATGTGCGTCTGGTTTGTAAGTTTGTCTTGTATGAGTGTATATATATATATATATATATATATATATGTATATATATATATATATATATATGTATGTATGTATGTGTGTGTGTATATGTGTGTATGTGTGTGTGTTTTTGTTTGTACTTCTATATATATATATATATATATATATATATGTATGTATGTATATATATATATATGTGTGTGTGTTATATATATATATATATATATATATAATACAATATCGTGTGAGCAGGGATGTACGTGTGTATGTTTTTAGGTCTTCGTGTGTGTGTGTGTATGTTTGTGTGTGAGAGAGAGTGTGTGTGTTGTATGTACTTGTGTTTGTAGTGTTTTGTGTGTGCGTGGGTTTATTTTGTTGTATGTGTATTTGTAGTTTTATATGTATACGTTAGTAGTGTTGCGTGTATGTATGTTTGTAATATTCAGTGTGTGCATGCTGTTGAGAGAGAGAGTATGTGTGCGTGTATGTGTGTGTGTATGGGCTTATATCCGTACATCCCTACAAAACACCCCATGCTGGAGAGTGTATCCATACACGTGTGTACCTCTGTATACGGCCGTGTTTGCTAAAGTCCTTATATACACTTCAACCAAACTAATACGTATGTGAGACCGCTCTGCCGTACACCACCATCGCGTATCTGTGTACTCAACTACAGTATAAACTACCTTTGATGCAATTAGGTCCACTGTTGAGCGATAAGAACGCATGTCCCTCCACAGGTTGCGACCCTTGGATAACCTTGCTAGTTAATTTGACGTGGAAGTCGTTGAACTCCGGATACGGAATGTTAGGCATATTGCTAGCCTGTTTCCGCAACCCCAGCTGTGTGTATGTATCGATTACGTACAAATGATGGTGTGGTTGCAAATGCGTAGTAAATACGTATTTGCTTTTATATACAATTACTATTGTGTGATATTGATGATTCATAAATACACCTATATTTATTTAGTTTATATTTGTGTGATTAGTGTTTACTGTATTGATGTAGTTGAAATCTCATATCTCTCTCTAGCAACTGGGCCCTGGGGTGATCCTTTCTGATGATCGCAGGGTTTTACTGTTTTAGGTTTTACTGTTTTAGGCTATACTGTTTTAGGCCCTCTCTAGGGTTCAAGGTCCCCACTAATTAATTAATCAAGGCCTCCTAACTATTTAGTCCTTCACATACAAATACGTCTATTTATAATGTAGCATAGCTGTTTCATATTAGGAGACAATTTGTAGGTAGTCTGAATAGTTCATCTCTATTCAAGGTAAATACATAACAGATACATCCCGATTCGAGAAACCTCTATGTATTCTTTAGGTACAGTACACTTTGACGCTATATCCCATTCCACAGTCTCCTCCGCTCTGGTAGAGTGATCGCCATCCATTCTCGTGTGCCCTGACATTCTGTTCTTTCTCATTACACCGCTCACGGTTGAAGAATCCCGTGTAGTCCACAGTGGGCCGGCCCATGCAAGAAGACCGCCAGAGGCTACTACAGCAACAACATACCGTAGAGTTTGTGCCGATACTTGGTATTCTCGTCGACTACTGTACGTGTGTACTATAGGTTATCTTTATAGCGCAGTGATGAAAGCAAAAGTAAACAGAGTCATCCCACCTTGTGTCGCTATACTGTGAGCGATGACCAACTCGTCTCTATTTAGAGAGTTTTTTGTAATAGCCTACTACAATACTTCAATTTACATCACTCTGAAATTCTATACTATTTGAATCGGCATTCTGAATTCTGACGTCATGTACGAATAAATTTGGCTCAAAAAAAATCTGGGGAGAACCGCTCACAGTCAAACCTCCCATGTGACGCTAAAACAAAAATAATGTGTATACAAAAAAATATGTGTCACTACTACATACGCTAACTGTCTTGGGTCTCTTGCTACTAAAGCTAAAATTATTTAATAGTCGTTTGTAAATTTTGCATCTATATACTATAGTAGAGCAATATAGCATAACAACGTAGTATAGCAAGTATTTGATCCCGCTTACGCAGATAATTATAGAGCGTATTGCTTTTTGGATCGGATATGGCTGAGACTAAGCCCAAGGCCAATGCGGTCGAGATGGATGAGGAATCACAGCGCAAGTACGATCTAGTACGGTCGATAGGCGAAGAGTGTATCCAGGAGAGTGAGCTCAAGAACCTTATACTTAAGAAGCCTGGGTTCCGATTGTACGATGGTTTTGAGCCATCGGGCCGCATGCACATTGCACAGGGAGTGTTCAAGGCTATGAACGTCAATAAATGCACCGCTGCGGGGGTATGTATGTCTTTTGAGTGCTGCTTGTAGATGTAGACAAGTGACATTGTGACACGCACTACGCCATATGAAAGTGTGTTTATGTGTGTTATGAATGGGAGATGTTGTGTGCGATTAATTCTCTGTGTACATATAAGATCATCAGGCACTTAAGGGGGAACAACTTGCCTGTATACACGCATCAATGTGGTACGCTTTCGCCACTAAGGTTGGCGTTTTGTGATTGTTTCGATTATTATGAGCGTTTTAGTTAGCTCGAATACATAGGGCTGGATCACATTATATCGCATAGGATTTGTTTCAAATTCTAGTATTATTATAGCACGTGTATTTGTGTGTGTGTGTGTATAAGTATGTAGTTATATATATATATATATATTCATTATGAATACATACATGTATATGTATATGTATATATATATATATAATATATATATATATATATCTATATATATATATATATATATATGCATATACGAATACATTTTTGTACATATACATATATATATACATATATGTGTGTGTGCTGTATATCACACATATCCACTCTGTTCCCGCTTTTGTGTACAAATATGAATTGGTATAAACAAGTCGCGTGTGCTTAAAAATGTATCCTTCGTGTGACTACTCTATATGCCTTTGCGTACATCTATCTGCATGTACATATCTGTTCTGAATTCCTTCTATAGCCTTTTCAGCGTATAAGTATGTGCGGTAGTACACCAATATATGCATAGAAATGCATATACATGTATATATATATATATATATATGTGTGTGTGTGTACAATATATATATATATATTTATATATATATATATATATATCCCAGCATCCCCACTTTGTACTTGCATGTCTACGATGTTAGCTACATTCTCATATCCCCTAGAATCAGCCCTAGAACCCCCTCGTACCCCCCCCATCCTCACCCACCCCCTACACCCCACAACAGGGCACCTTCGTCTTCTGGGTGGCTGACTGGTTTGGTCTGATGAATGATAAGATGGGTGGTGATCTGGATAAGATCAAGGTGGTAGGCGAGTACTTCATTGAGGTGTGGACGGGTGCGGGGATGGATCTCAGTAACGTGGAGTTCCGCTGGGCTAGCGATGGCATTGTGGGCAATGCGGCATCGTACTGGCCACAGGTGATGGATGTGGCCCGATGTTTCTCGGTGACTAGGTGTGTGTGTGGATGTGGGTGTGGATGTGGATGTGGGTGTGGATGTGAATGTGTGTGTGGATGTAGGTGTGTTTATGTGTAAAAGTATGTGTGTGAATGCGTGTGTGGATGTAGGTGTTTGTGTGGGTGTGTGTGTGAATATAGGTGTGTTTATGTGTAAAAGTATGGGTGTGGATATGTGTGTTTATGTGCGTTTGGATGTATGTGTGTGAATGTAGGTGTATATATATGTAGGTGATGTGTGTGTCTTTGAATCTGTGTGTGAATGTAGGCGTGTTTGTGTATATCTGAATATAGATGTATTTGTATATAGGTGATGTGTGTGTGTGAATGCAGGTGCATTTGTATTCAGGTGAATGTGTATATATATGTTTATGTATATCTGAATGTAGGTGCATTTGTATATAGGTGATGTGTGTGTGAATGCATATATATTTGTATTCAGGTGAAAGTATATATATATATATGTATGTATATCTGAATGCAGCCACCTACCCGTTCACCCTATCTCTAACTGCCGTGTACCACTCACACACTCTCTCTCTACCCAGAATCAACAAGTGTTGTCAGATAATGGGCCGTAAGGAAGGTACCTTGACGGCTGCACAGATTCTTTATCCGCTCATGCAGTGTTCGGATATCTTTCATCTGAGGGCTGACATCTGTCAGTTGGGCGTGGATCAGCGCAAAGTCAACATGCTCGCCAGGGAGTACTGTGACGCCTCCAAGCGAAAGCTCAAACCGGTGGGTGGGTGTTACTGTAAATGTGACTGTGACTGTAACTGTAAATGCAAATATATCTGTAAATGTAAATGTAAAATTATTTGTATAGTGTGTGTGTATGTGTAACTGTAAATGTATCTGTAAATGTAAATGTAAATGTAACTAACTATAAATGTACCTAAATATAAATGTAACTGTAAATGTAAATGTAAATGTAACTAACTGTAAATGTACCTAAATATAAATGTAACTGGAAATGTAAATGTAACTGTAAATGTAAAAAAAATTGGTATTGTGTGTGTGTGTGTGTGTGCCTATAGATTTCTATCTTGGTGTAGTTACGAGTACTTTTGCTCGTACTAATAGTGCTTGTTTGTTTACATCTGTGTCTATGTTTGTGTATGTACATAGTACTAATAGTGCTTGTTTGTTTACATCTGTATCTATGTTTGTGTATGTACATATACCTGCCATGGGCGTAGTGTGTCGAGCAAAGTGTGTGCATACGTTTACCCGTGGTTACCTTTCACCTGTGACGTGGCCCCTATCCCGCACGGGGACCGTTAGTTGGTTGTGTGTTGCCGTGTCGATTGATTAAACATGCCCAAATGGCCATAACACACACTCTAGCTTCATCAACATACACACAAGTAGCAATAACACACACTCTAGCTTCATCAACAGACACACAAATAGCAATAACACACTCTTGAGCTCCATAAACATGCACACAAATAGCAATAACATACACTCTAGCTTCATCAACATACATATAAATAGCAATAACACACACTCTAGCTTCATCAACATACACACAAATAGCAATAACACACTCTAGCTTCATCAACATACACACAAATAGCAATAACACACACTCTAGCTTCATCAACATACACACAAATAACAATAGCACACACTTGAGCGCCATGAACATACACACAAATAGCAATAACACACACTTGAGCGCCATAAGCATACGCACAAATAGTATACCTGTGCATATCCCCGTGGCAACCGTGTGGGGGTGTCCTTTTTTGTACCCACATATTGGGTACTCTCACGTGACGTGGTAGTGTGTGTTACCTGTGTTGTTTTCGTGTGTGCAGGTGATTGCGTTATATCACAGGTTGTGTGCTCTCACGTGATGTAGTGGTGTGTCTGACCTGTGTTGCTTCCTTCTTGTAGGTGATACTGTCGCATCACATGATGTATGGTCTGCTAGAGGGCCAGGAGAAGATGTCCAAATCAAACCCCGACAGCGCTATATTCGTAGAAGATCAGAGGGAAGACATACTGCGCAAGATCAACCAGGTGAGTGTGAGGTAATAGTAATAGCAGACAGCACACAACACATATAATAGTAAACAGTAACATGTGAACTCAATAGTAAACAGTACACAATACACACTACAGTAAACAGTACACACTACACACCATAGTAAACAGTACACAATACACACTATAGTAAACAGTACACACTACACACCATAGTAAACAGTACACAATACACACTATAGTAAACAGTACACAATACACACTATAGTAAACAGTACACATACACACTATAGTAAACAGTACACAATACACACTATAGTAACAGTACACAATACACACTATAGTAAACAGTACACAATACACACTCTAGCAAATAGTACACTATACACACTATAGTAAACAGTACACAATACACACTATAGTAAACAGTACACAATACACACTATATTACACAGTACACAATACACACTATAGTAAACAGTACACAGCACAATAGTAAACTGTACACAATAGACTCTATAGTAAGCAGTACACAATACACACTATAGTAAACAGTACACAATACACACTATAGTAAACAGTACACAATACGCACTATAGTAAACAGTACACAGCACAATAGTAAACTGTACACAATAGACTATAGTAAACAGTACACAATAAACTCTATAGTACACACTACACAATACACACAGTAGCAAACAGTACACAGCACAATGATAGACAGTAACCTGTGAACTCAATAGCGAACAGTACACAGGAACTCAGTAGCATGTGCCTAGTGTGGCTAATGTGCTTTAGAGTGCAATTCATGTGTTAGTTGTATGTGGTGCGTGTTGTATACGTTCCGCAGAGTGTCTGAATGTAGATGGCCATGGGTTGGTGGGCATATCCTGTGATGGATGTAGGAAGGTGGAGTGAGGCAAGCGCAGTAAACTATAGAGTGACTGTGGGAGACGAGGGTGTGGTAGTAGCATGTCTGTGATAAGTAGCTTAGAGATACGATGGACAGTAATAAGGCAGGCGTGTATTGAATTCGGGGTGGGTGCACGGTGTAAATGATAGTATGCGTGTGTATAAGTACAAATCATCTATGGCATTTTAATGAGTTTAAGATGTACATGATAATGTGTGTGTATAAGTACACATCATATATGGCATTTTACTGAATTTAAGATATATATGATAGTATAAGTGTATGTAATTATACACCATACATTACATTTTAACGGGTTCAATATGTATATGGTAATATACGTATATATAATTACACACCATACATTACATTCTACCGAGTTCTGGCACCACCAACCCACCTATATCGCGTGTCGCCTACATGCGCTCGGTGTACTTACTTGTCCTACATCAATCGTCTGGTTCTTAGGCGTACTGTCCATTAAAATCTACCGGAAAGGGCGTCGACACAACTGCCGAGTATACCATGCGACTCAAGGAAGACGACCTGCAGAACCCCTGCTTTGACTATCTAGAAAACATCGTGTTCAACAAGCCAGACCCATCCATCACCATGGGAGGGCAAACCTACACGTATGTGAGTAGTGCCATTGTAACGGAGCTATATATATATATATATTTATATGGCAATGTATGTATCTACAAAAGTATACGTGGTTTTGAGGTCGGAGTGTGGGCACAGAAGATACCCACTACACACAGACTTGCGGTGCATGCACTATTTCCATATGTGTCTGCGTGTGTGTATTTGTGTACGAATGTCTTATAATGAGCGCATATGTTTATATATATATATATATGCGTGTGTGTGTGTATTCCCTTCTGTTTGCCTTGTGTGTTACTGTTGTAGGCCCTGTGTGAATTTTCGGTCGGTATATGGGCAGTAGGGTGGTGACATGTACATATACATACACATATACATATACATAAACTGTTGCGCCCAGGCATGTACATGGAGATCCTCTTCTACTATTGGGTAGTGTTACGTAGTCATAACCGTCTCCAAAGACCTCTCGGTTCACTCATCCTTCCATATATTGTATGACATACCCACTTAGCTCGTGCTTGTGTATTTACATGCGCATATACCCGTGCGCCTTATTGTCACAGGTACAAACTGATCCTGCTAACTTACTAAACATGTCTGTTCATCCCTCGCTTCTCCTTCCTATAACCACCACGCACACGTACAGGACCTTTGAGAGCGCGCGAGATGCGGTGGTTAATGCAGACGTCAGTGAAATAGACTTCAAGGCTGCACTGGGCGATGCGGTGGACGGAGCTATCAAACCCATCAGAGACCACTTCAGAGACAGTGACAAGGCCAGGGTGTGTGGGGGATGCTTGCTTGCACGTCTACAGTGTTCATGTACTTATACACGTATGTATGTGTTATGTATATATATATGTGTGTGTGTGTGTGCGTGTGTGTGTGTATGTGTGTGTATTGGCGTCGCTGTAGATACATGTCTGTAGTTTTGTGTATATATTCATGTATATATTCTTACAGGCATTCGCTATACAATGCGTTTGCCGGAGCCATCGAACCCATCAGAGATCACCTCACAGACAGCCACAATGCCAGCGTATGTGGAGAGTGCTCTTCTGAACATCAACAGCGTGTACATGGACGTTCAATCACGTGTACACACGCTGGTGCATTACTATGTATATCTGTAGCTGTTAGTGTCGAGATGCATGTGTATACGCGTAAAAAATTACATGTATATATGCGCACATGATGCATGTGTATATGCATATATGATACATAGTGTATATGCGTATATGATACATAGTGTATATGCGCACATGATACATGTGTATATGCGTACATGATGCATGTGTATATGCGTATATGATACATAGTGTATATGCGCACATGATACATGTGTATATGCATATATGATACATAGTGTATATGCGTATATGATACATAGTGTATATGCGCACATGATACATGTGTATATGCGTACATGATACATGTGTATATGCATATATGATACATGGTGTATATGCGTATATGATACATAGTGTATATGCGCACATGATACATGTGTATATGCGTACATGATACATGTGTATATGCGTACATGATACATGTGTATATTCGTATATGATACATAGTGTATATGCGCACATGATACGTGTGTATATGCGTACATGTCTGTGCTAGGCGACGCTGTTGTCACAGCCATTCAATCCCTCAGAGACCACATCCGGACAGCAACAGCGACAGGGTGTATATCTATGATGTGTATGTGTGTATACACAACCACGTACGTAAGTGTGTGAATGCGCCTGTGTACATTCTATCTGTTCATACACAAGCCCATAAACACGTAGGCGTACAGCTTAACTTAATTACAAGACCCATGCACCCTATCTCAAGTATGTATCCATATCTCTGGTTCCGGCTGCAGACTCTTTTAGAGACAATCCAGGGCTACAAAAACGAAACAGGCGCACCTGCGAAGAAATCAACGCGCAGACTGGCGCTGTCGACTGGGCAGGACGCAGTGTTTATGGTGTACGCACCCTTTGCGAGCTATGAATACACGATGGAGGTGTGGTTTTGTGTGGGTGTGGGATATGGTAGGTCTGTAGTGTGCGTGTTTATTTGTCGTGTTCGTGTGTATTACTGGCTCGCTGTCTTAGTGTGTATGTTTGTTTTCGATGAGTATGTGTTATTGTCTGTATGGAATATATATCTATATCTGTATCTATATCTATATATTGCTATATAAGGAATGCACTTCACTCAACCAGGGCTTTTCAACATCACAGACAATATACCTTGCAATGCGATATTACACAGAGAAACATATCATTGACAATATTGCTATACAATTTACACCCTATTCTCAATCAACACTATACGCCCTTCAAGGTTACTTGCCACTTGCAGGTGCGGCTATAACTACCAATTCTT